AAGGCGGTAGGTGGAGGGGGTGAGAGGGCGTCTACAGAATGAACTGAAACACTAACGCTTCCTACACGTACAGTTCTTCTCAAGGCAAGCAGCATCGGCAGTAAGCCCCTAACCAGAGCAAAACCACCTTGACTTGACCACTCACTCCTCTGTCACGCTGCTGCCTGCCTGATGGTGGCCAGCAGAGGGCCTCAGAGTGAATTATGATTTTCAGCACTTTCAGAGAACATGCTTGCCACAATCAAGTTATAGAAAACCTGAGTTCGGGAGAACTGACTCAGGCCTCCTTGATTTAGCATCTTAAGCCACAGTAATGCCTATACAAAGAAGAGCTACAAATGTTTTCTTGGAAAGGAATCAAGCTAAATCACAAATAGCCTAAGCAACAAAACATCCCCGTAAGCACTGGGGACTTCTGTTGGCTTTTCAGACCAACTACTATATCCCACCCAACTTAATGATCATGGTTACCTAGAGGGAAAAAGCCCAAGGCTGAGGGGCAGAGCTGGCAAGAAAACCAAGCTCTTACTGAATGCCAATATAATTACAACACACAGCCACTGTACCCAGGAGGAGGGCCCGGGGGCAGGGATGTGCAAGAGGGCCTAGGAAGTGCTGACCCTTCACAGGGGTCAGAGATTTGCTCAGAAACACTACCTAGTCAGAAGATGTACCCACTCGGGCACTCACGGGACAGAAACCTAAGTAAACCTCACTGCAGCTTGTAGCTCGATAGCTGTCAATCCCGAGTCATTTAAGGAGTATCACTTGGCTGCATGGAGAAGGGCTGCACGAGGGCAGTGCAGGGAACACAGTCATTTCTCTAAATGAACAATTAGAAATGCCTGCCATCGTAGCCTTCAGGGGATTTCCCAATTGGGCAGATAATCCTCCCAAGGATGAGCGATAAACGTGGGAACTACTGCAAAAAAGGAATGATGAAGGTTCTAAATTTAATAGTGCAACAACTGTGCCTAAGAATTTTGAAGGAAAGATGAACTTATGATATAAAGTTATTATTTGCTTTCCTGGTGATGCTGTGAGGAGCCCTGATGGAGCTGTGGGTTTGACACTGGACGGCTAAAAGGTTAGCAGTTCTAACTCACCAGCCACTCTATTAGAGACAGGTGAGGCTGTCTACTCCCATACATATTTACAGACTAGGAATCCTATACAGAGGTTGCTACCACAGTGGATTTGGTTGATCTTTTAGTGGAAGAAGAGTTAACTCGGCCTATATAAGATGGGGTAGAACTGCCCTGAGAGTTTCTGAAAATGCAATTCTTTACAAAAATCTAAAACCCTGCCTTTCTTCCCGGAAGCAGCTGAGGGCTTCAAACTGCTGACCTTGTGATTAGCAGTCTAACTCTTAACCATTAATCCACCAGGGATCCTTGAGGGAAAATAATAACTATTAAAAACAAAAACAACAAAGAATCAGTAAAGCCATCTCTAGGAAAACACATGGGGGTTCCATCCAGCACCCATTCATCTATTTATTGAGCACCTACTATAATTGAAGGCACTATGTGGTAA